AATCCTGAAAACAAAACTCTTCCGAGCTTGTAGAGTACAAAACCTCGCACATAAAAACTTATTGTCTGTCTAAATCAAAGTGCGCAGGTAAATAGTTTCACCTGTGACTGCCTCTGTGTTTAGAGATTAAAGGCAGTGACAAACAACGAGATGCCGCATTACTGCCACCAATTGGACAGGAGTGTTACAGCACAGGACCGACTGTTCCCTAAATCTAAAGTTAAACAGTTGAGACAACAATTTAAAAAAAATCACTAATCTTTAATAGAATTAGGCAAGATAGATCTTCTAAAATGTCTCCAGAGCTTCTTTGTAAAATATCACACAGGTCAAACATCAGGCCGGTTCAGTGGGTAGAGCCGTCGTCTCCTAATCAGAGAGTCGACAGTTCGAATGGCGGTGCCTGCAGTCCACATGTCAAAGTGTCCTTGAGCAAGACACTGAACCCCCAAATTGCCCCCAGTGGTTCTGTACCGGAAACAGACTCCTTGTCTGTGTAACATGCTTGGTCAAATAAGGGTGATTATCCTTTATATTTCTGAATCATTTCCCTCCTCTCAACCTCATATTTTGTGCAGTAACCTATAACATAACATGCTTTAATAGTTTCTTCCTCATCACAGAAACCACATCTTCCGATATTTCTTAAGGCTGGATTCTTCTTCTCCTTTGGATTTTTATGGCATTTGGTTTCTGTAATGTTGCATTACGGCCATTCACACATACATATTGACATTCATTCTCACAATTACCTGTCAGATGGTTTCCTATAGTGAACAGTGCACTGTTAAGATTATTATGATAATTAATTGTTCTTCTCTCTTATTACCTCTGCTCCTGCCACCCCCACCTTATTCTGCAATAAAATCAGATGTATGTATGTTTGATGGTATTAAAAAAAAGAACCACATACACAGATGTTATTACATGACAAATGTGTCACACCTTGTGTTTGCATATTCTACATGACTTATATGCATATATTTATTGCATTCAAATATTGTACAATTTTGTGAGAAAACTATATCTATGTTAGAAAAAGAAAGCAACATACTAAATAAAAATAAAAGTTGCATAAGGTTCTGTGTCCTTACATTTGTCTACTTATTGACTCCTATTATTTGTAAGTGATCACTCACCCATGAGCACTGTAATGGACACAAAAATCACTTTTAAACAATATTCACTTGTATGCACCATCTCACTACCATTCTCAGCGATGATAAAGTTGTGTTCACAGAAGCCTGTGTCATTCACACTCTGAAGCAGGTGTGATTCTGTGTATGTGTGTGTAGGACTTCATGAGTGTCACACTACCATGGTGTGACACCCCCATAGGTAAAACACACTCCTCTGTCAGCACCCCTCGGGCAACATCCCAGCACATCACTGTGGAGATGACTTGGTTCTTGGTATCTCGTCCGCCGGTGATGAACAGTTTGTTGTTACAGGCAGCGATGGCGCAGCTGGCCCGCTCTCCCAGAAGAGTCACAAGGGACCAGGTGTCAGACAGAGGAGAGTAGCAGTACATGGCATGCATAGCTCCACCTAGGAGCAGACAGAGAATGGTACAGTAACCACATTAAGGTTATGCATAAATATATAGACTGTACCTCTTACACAATACCAGAAACAGATGCTATTGTAGAAATCACAATATGGAATTATTGAGGACAAACAGACAGAGACACATATACATGTGTACAAAACAAACTAATATAAGTTGTGGAGGAAGTATTCAAATCCTCTACTTAAGTAAATGTAGTGATAGGTCAAATCAAATTAAAATGTATTTATATAGCACTTTAAAAACACCATCCAGCTGACCAAAGTACTTTACATGGCACAATAAAATCACAATAAATGACTAAAATAAAGTAAATAAGATCAGTGCAAATAAAAATAAAACAGCACAATAACACAAACACACAGTTAACATACACTCAATAAATTAACGATTAAAAGGAAATTAAAACAAAAGTACACCTTAACCAAAAATATTACAGTGTTATTGGCAAAATGGTCTTAAAATAAAAAAGCAAACACAGTCAAAATGAATAAAAGCAATCCATCCTGTGAGTGTTACCATTATACTGTTATGGCTACGGCCGAGTGCGCTCCCAGCACCTCGTCCGCCTGCCCTGGTCCCATCAATAGCTCCACCCCGACAGGTGCTGGAGCGCACTCCCGGCGACGAGGCACACCTGCTCCCACTCAGCGGAGCAGTACTTAAGGTGAACATCTCTCGACGTCCCGCCATCATCAGTAAGCAAGTCCGATCTGACTAATCTGTGTTTCCTTTTTTTGTCTTGATGATCCCTGTGGTTTTTGCATTTCTCTGAACTGAACTCTGAATCGCTCTGAGGATTATCCTGTGGGGGACGGTACGCGCCATCCTCGGCGACTCAGCTTCCCAGACGCCCCGTTGATGGGCTGCGATCACAGTAGCTGGGAGCCACAGCTTCCCCCATTAGCAGATCCACGCACCGACCGGCAGTCATCTCGCCACCTGCTGCCTCCCCGCACAGCATCGCTCTTCAGTTCCAGGTTCCAATCATTCTGCCCCACATAGTCAGTATTTGATCTGCTGAGTGTTCTCATCCTCCTCCTCTGTTCTCAATTTAGTGGCTGTCAGTACTCTCCGCACCCCGGGTTTCTCACTGAGTGGTCCAGTCGACTCAGCTCCCAGTCGCCCGTGATTTGCTGAGTGTTCTCATCCTCCTCTGTTCTCAATTTAGTGGCTGTCGGTACTCTCCGCACCCCGGGTTGCTCACCGAGTGGTCCAGTCGACTCAGCTCCCAGTCGCCCGTACCGGCCGTAACGTCCACACTACTCCTTACACCTTCTGTTACCCTTCCTGATTAAAAATCTTTGTTTATCTGAAGTCTGTGTCCGAGTCCTGCACTTACTGGGTCCTCAGTTCCTGGTCCTGACGGTTAGCCGTAACATATACTGTTATTATATTGTATTAATGTTACAGAAGGTTCAATGTATAAGTAGGGTTTCACTTTTACAACTCCTCAAGGTAAAGTTAATACCTTGAATTTGGATTTCCAAAAAAAAGTATTGTGGCGACCCTGACCGGCCGCTGATATTCATTTGTTTTGTGTGCAAATGGGTTTGACACTGTTGTTGAAAGCTGTGCATGTATTGGTTACCGTTGTTTCGGTGAAATCCCCGCGCTGTTCTGTCCAATGTAGGGAGGAACCAGTACGGGAGAGTATAAGAGGGGTAACAGGTGGGTGTGTCAGGGTGATCGCAGTTGGCGCGGAACATGGAATGCCCTGAGGGAATGTTGCTACTGCTTTCTTTTACTGCTATTTTCTTTTCCTGTGAGCACACGGTGCCAGGTATATCGCAGTTTCATTTTGCATTCTTATTCTGTTCAATAAAAGACAGAGAAGGTGTTCTCCTCAATGTCAGCCTAGGTGCCAGAACACAGCTGGATAGTTAGATGTCACAGTTTAGGATGGGGTCAGGCCAGCTCCGCTCATCCGAACCAGTGGAGCGCCACAGTATAAAGAAACACATGTAGTGCAGTAAAAAGAGGAATATTTCCTTCTGAACAGTAGTGCAGTATATAAAGTACTGCAGCTGAAATATTTAAGCGAAGGACAAATGCCTTTAAATTTGTACCTAACAAACATTTCACCACAACTTACCAACTACATAGATGCAGTTCTTGAAAGTAACAGCATTTGTGCATTTGGTTTCCATGGGAATGGGCGCCCGCAGTTCCCAGCAGTCTCTCCCAGGTTCCCAGCACTGAACCTTGTCAGTTGCCAGCTTTCCATTCGGCCCACCACCTATCACATAGATCCATCTGTCAAAGTTTGCAGCAGCGAAGGAGCTCACACCCACTGCAAGAGGTGTCACCTGCAAGAAATATTAAATAGCTGCTTTGAGAAACATTTTTGTAAAGTTAAGCAAAACCACCACTATTATACAAAGGTACTGTATGTTTACCTGTGTCCAGCGATTGTGAAAAGGATCATAGGCTTCTACACTAGCGAGTCTCTGAGTTCCATCAAACCCACCAAGTGCGTACACCTTCCCTCCATGAACTGCCATCTTGTGTCTCCAGCGCCCATTTACCAGGGGCTCGATTTGGATCCACTTGTCCAGGGCACCATTGTATTTCCAAACATCATGCTGCGTCTCTTTACCTCCTGCAATAACAGGAGCATTACAGAAATCTGTCACCCCCTGTGCACACTATAGCGTTCAGCCCAAAACACCAATGTGGACTGAATTTTTAGCAATGTGCCCTACATGAGGTCACAAGCATATCATTCTAATTAAAGAGGTAAAATCCAATGATTCATTCTGAAATATTGCAGTGTGTGCTGCTGAGCAGTTAAAATAACCCCAGCTAATGTGTCAGTTCCTGAGTTGGGAAACACCTAAAACCACAACTGCAGATGATACATCTTCCTGTTCTTTTGATCGGTTGTACACTATGGAATTACTGACTATAACAACATTAAATTTAAATTTAAAAAAGCCTACAAACATTTACAACAACCTGTTGACTACAATATTCAATGAGCAGACATATTAAAAAACAAACCTGGCAGATGCATAGTTAGTACAGGGTGTTAGTTTTCTCACCAGATATATACAATTCATTGCGGAAAGTGATGCAAGCAAACTCCACCCATTTTCTGTTTTGGGACTCATCCTCCATCTCTGTAGTTGGTAGCCTGGCGACCTCCAGCCTGCTGCGTCTAAGGGGGTCCAAACAGGTGACGGTGGAAACAAAGCGTTCATCTTTAGTGCATCCTCCGATGATCAAGAATACCTCAGATAGAAAGTGCCGCTCACGGGGTTTGGTTCGTTCAGAGACAACCTATAAACATGTAACATGTACAAAGCACATTTACCTATAAGTCAGTGAAACAGAGCAGTAATTTTTTTATGTCAAAATTAGAAAAAGTGATTTATATTCTTTCAAAATGGCTGTTATTACAATACCAAATCAAAATGAGAACATTTAAATTGTATTACGTAGCTTTTGTCACTGGTGCACAAGGTGACACATCTTTAGACCTCTAACACACTCATAGTGTTTCAGATACACTGAGGGTAGTAGTGCTTCCAAAAAAGCTTCTCAGCATTTTATAAAACAACTGTACTCTCGGTATGTCAGATAAGAAACATGTTTTTGACCTCCGCTGTACACTGACCTCCCTGCCGGAGAGGTGAAAGGTGCGGGCCTCTTGTAACAGAGGAAAAGCTTCACTGCAGCGGCGGATCAATTCATCCGACTCCACTTTTTCTACAAAGTATGCTGGTTCCAGCAATGGCAGTCGCACATGCGAGAGCAACCTGGCCAGTAGAGGAGCACGTTCATCCTCCCGGGCTCGCACCCATCGCATAAGTGCCTCAAAAACACACTCCTCGCACTTCACGTCAAGTTTGTCATTCTGCAGGACAGCCTCCAGCGAATCTGGTGGCAGCTCCACAAAATCCTGCTGCTGGACCAACTGGGAAAACTGAGAGGTGATGTAGTCCTGAGCCCTGGTCTTCAGGGTCAGAAGGGCGTGATTCTCAGCCAGATTCAGGATCCCAATACAGTTCTCTAGGTGCAGAGACTTGGTCAGGAAGCCAGTACATGCATCCACCACACGTAGAAACTACATGAAACATGGCAAGCACATGCACTATTATACATAAGCAGTCTGATGTAGCCCACAAAAATACATTAGGGGTAATTAAAAGTTTAAAAGCCGTTCTACAACAACCCTTAGCAATAACCACAATGACAGTTTTCCTCAAAATGTACCCTAAATTACAACAAAATCTTTGAACTTTTTTATCTTCGAGATCTAAACCACAAACTGTTTGTTACAAAAACAGAAGTAGAGTAACGTGTCTGTTTGTCATGTGGCACAGCTGTGTACTTAATTTAAGCCTGTATGGAAAACTGATCCTAAGTGTAAACAACTGGGCAGCTTTCACTTCCCCCTTAAAGCAAAGCATCTCTTCTGTAGTTAAGATGTTTGTTCTACTGAATGGGGGCATAACTTTCTAATGTGTGGTTCTACATTACAGCAGAGCCATAAAAGATATTTCTATAATAAAATCTGTCTTTCTGGATGTAAATAAATAAGTGTTTTTCTACATTTTAATGTGTTTTGCCACTAATTCAGTATCATAGTGGATTCTGTCTTGTCTTTATTTCATCATGTGACAGTTTGGTAATAATTCAATTACCCTGAATTAACATGCAATGAATATCATTAACATTCTATAAATAGTTGCTGTTTGGTTAGCTCTTTGTGACTTTTGGAAGTTCTTCCTTTCACTGGGGAATCCACTGAATCCCATGACCATTCATATGATCACACCGCACAACGCAGAACGGAAATAATTTTACTAATCATATGCTCAGAAAACCTTTTCAGACCCCACTGGATCAAGCTAAAAAAGGGTTTATGTACTTTTTGGTTTAAAGTTTGGTTTTTGAAGCCAGGAACATGATTACATCATATCAAAAGTAGCTTCTTAGCTAATTCATTTCCAAATTATTCAAAACCTTTTGTCTATAGTGGCAATCAATTTAACCAAAGGTCATAATTGGTCATAATAAGATTCTCAAGATTTACAAGGAACTCTGTGTGTTTGCCAGGTGGTGTTTGTGCTTGGTAAACTAACTGAAAATCTTCTTCAAATTAGATTGTAAGTAAATGTCTTTTTACCTGAAACTGACTGGCGGCCTCTAGTATTCTCTGGACATTAGAGGGTGTGAGGACGGCTTGGCTGGTGTAGGTATACTCCAGCAGTAAACCCATTGTCTCACTGTCCAGCCCCTTTATTTCCACATACTCCTCATGACTCTCCTTCAGACCGCTGCAAAACATTGCCCTACACAGCAAACAAAACGAAACAAAAACCAAGCAAAGAAACAAACAAACAAAAAACACTCATTTATGAAAACCAGCAGCACACACACCCAGAAAAAAGACTATGCTAGATTATTTGTACCTGAAGTACTGACTAGCAGCAGCAAGTATGGCTCTATGACAAGAAAAGTCGCGTCCTTGAACACTCAGTATCACATCGGTCAGCTCTTCGTTCACCCGTAGAGCCTCCAACCCTCTCTGCAGCTCCAGAGGTAGGCCCCCATCTTCCCAGTGTAATCCATTTGCACCTGATACGTTTCTTCTATCTTCATCTGGGCTGGATTCAACTCCAGGAAGTGGTAAGGGATAGTCTGTAGTCCTCTCCAGCGAGTCGCTCATCTTTCTACACCAGTTGAAGATCTTCAGAAAGTCTCCCTCCTCAGAGGAAAGCGTGCAGCTACTTCAGGTGCACCTGCACTATATAGTAAACCCCTGTGGTTTGTGCTTGCAGCAGTTCTGTGGGGCTGAGATGTGGATTTGTTTTTTCCTGTTCTCATCATACTTCCTATTCCTGTTCTGTGAGGGACAGGGTTAGAAATGTTCGATTCTAGACACTTCCTCTTTTTGTGCAGCGCAAAGTTCCCCTAAGCTACCCAATTTTCCTCCTTTTTCAGAACCGCAGATGTCAGGTTTCCTCCACCAGACCTTGACAAACAGAGATAACTGCAAATAACACTCAGAATCATAACCCTACATCTGAGGAGAACACTTTCTTATATACTATACTTCTTACATAAGTGTTTACCTCACTAAATGGGACAGAACTAATTGAAGACATAGAAAGTAACTAGACACATTTATTCAAGTACTTTAGTATTTTCATTTTCTGTTACACCATACTTCAACTTCACTACATTTATTTGATAACTTTAGCTACTTTTCATAATAAAACAAAACACGGTATAATATAACAAATTATGGTGGGAAATTCACAAGCTACCTGGCAATATTCCAAATTACAAGTATATAAAGTAGTTAAAAATAAAGTAGTTAAAATTAAAATTAAATGCGATGAACAGAGTAATACTATACATTTCTGTGAAACGTGCCATTCTGCATGATGAGTATTTTTACTTTTGTCACTTTAATTAAATATATTTAGATGTTAATATGCTTCTACTTTTACTTAGGTAACATTTTGAAGGCAGGTATTTTACATGTAACAAAGTTTTTTGACAATATGCTGTTGCTACTTTTACTAAAATGAATGATCTGAGTACTTCTTTCAGCACTGACTAATAGTAATAATGAGAACTGGGTTTGTGGTGTTGTGACCAGAAGGTTAACAGCTTGATGAATTTATCACACTGAGGTACTTATACTACCACATGTTTATTCAACCATTAAATAGTAGTAGAATAATTAAACTGCAATATACTAATAATATCACAAAATAATGATAATAATAATAATTACTACTGTACTGTTATTGTTGTATTCTGCTATAATATGCTATATTATGTATATATGTTATAATATTGTAGTAGTGTAGTATAGTGTGTATAGTACAAGCAGTGTACATGATATATAATCATACAGGCCTATGTTGTTTTTATAATGAGCTGCTTACATCTCTGTATCCCACGTACTTCACACATCATCATCTGCCAGAGTTGCACAAAAGAATTTAAAAAATGTTTGAAGGTCCAAAGTATTAAATATACTTTTTAAATATAATCTGAGTTCATACATGTAACTATTTCATTCAAATGGCCCCTCCATCCATTATTACTGTCTAACTGGTGCCCACCCTGCAGAGGGTGTCCCTCCACAGTGATGCTCAGCTGATTATCACAGATCAAACTCAGCATGTGCTCAGCCAGAGCAACGGCTGATCCTGGACATCCAGTACAATGAATATGAGAGACGCAGCTCTCCCGGAAATGTATGCTTTTCTCTTCTCCACCAAGTGGCAGCATTGCCTCATTGATTAGCAACACAATTTCAAAGGTATTCTAAACGTGTTCAAGCTCACTTCCTGTTTGAAGTGTGTGATTTCTTTTCACCTTTGACGAATGCGTCAAACCACGTGAGCCCGCTCCTATCGCGGGTGTATAGGTAGGAGTATAGATCTGACCTAGGGTGGAGCAGTTTTGTGAATCTGTGTTTTATTTCCCTATAAACTAACGACGGGCTACCTGCACAAGTAGCTACATAGAAATGTAGGATAACAGATTTAGAAGTACAGCATGACGCAAGTGCGTCTGCAGTTATGCAGGAAATATTATAGACTTCCTCTTAAAGTACCTTGAAGACTATGAGCCACTGACAGAGCTTAGTCACAACTACTATGGTGTGAACGCGGCGCTGCGTCTGGAGCAGATTCAGGATGAAGTGTTCCCTGCGCTCCTGTTGGGAAGCCAGTGTGCTTTTCTGGCTGGGTCTACTCATACACTGTGGTAAGTAGTTTTTAATTTCTTGTAAATGAACTGAATTCAGGTGGGTGACTGTGATGAGTGTAAATATGACCAAATATAGCTCACTTCATTTGGCAAATATATATGCTCTTGTTAAAAGCAAACAAAATAAAACGAAGATTTTATAATATAGAGGTAGAGCCGCCTTGAGCTGTTGGGTGGAACATATTTGAGCATTTGTCATTAGTTTGTGTATCCCTCATGAATATATCACACACCCATACAAATAAAATTGTAATACATGTGTATATTAAGCCACACTGTATCTGATTGATGTAAAACTGTCACTGTGTTTTGACAACCTGTTTCTATAATTTCATAACATTACATTTAGCAAAGACATGATTAAGCTCTGTGAATCATCATTATTAATTAACTTGTTATTCTCTCCAACTTTTAATTACAATTTTATTGATTTTCCAAATACAATTAATTACTGTTAGTTTTCATGAAACTTAAAAACCTGCAACAACTACTAATTTTGCCACTATTTGCAGGCACTTGTTCTTGTGGGTGTTTGCAGTGAATTAATGCATACTTAACGCTGTATACTGCAAAACGTTTTTTGCAATGTACTGTACAGTAAAGCTAAGGCTATAGAGTTTTGAATTGCATATCCATGTAAAGCTGTGACAAGGGTTAGCACCCAAAACATGACTGACAATTACAATGACACTATTCAAATGACTTCAGCTCCTGTGTTTTGCCTGCACTTCTCTCAGGAGAAGCAAGAGTGCTCACTGAAGTACAGGCTGGGCCTTTGTATCGCGTGGTGGACACTCCGCTCTCCATCTCCTGCAACACAAGTGGCTTTTCCAGTGAGAGTATTCCAAAGGAATTTCAATTCCGTATTAAGAAGCCTGCAAATCCAGATTTTGAGATCAACATCATCAGCACCGATGATGAAAAATTCAGCTATGCCGTGTATGCACAACGTGTGAGGGCCAAGACTATTACTCTGACACACGTGTCTCCAAACTCCATCCTCTTTGAGATACAAAGCCTACAGAAAAATGATGAGGGGGAATACGACTGTGCTGTAGTCAACAAAGAAAGTACTTATGATGGAGTCTACAGTGTTTCAACGATAGTTAAAGGTAATCTGTCACCATTACACTTTGAAATTTAAGTATCACTGTATGGCCAAAGTGCACGACTTTGTCTTATCTTTATCTTTGTCTCTGTTTCTGATGTGGTGCCATAGTGATTGACAACTCCTTAAGTGTTTCATCACCTGGCCCCACCTCACTGAGCTACAATGAGGGAGATGATCTCACTTTAATATGCCAGGCCTCCAGCAACACTGTCCAGCACACCCATCTGGCTTTAACCTGGTATCTTCATAAAGACAACGAGGACAATGCTCGGCCTATCATTTCTCTGGACAGAGATCTCACGGTGAGCCCGGGCCAGGGGTTTGATGAGCGTTACAAAGCTGGACTCATAAGGTTAGATAAAATGGGAGAGACCACATACACGCTAAAGATGGCTGAGCTAGAGCTGTCAGACCAAGGTAGGGTCTACTGCCAGGCTCAGGAGTGGATCCAAGATCCCGACCGCTCCTGGTACTGCATCATACAGAAGGATTCTGAGAAAACTACCCTGAATGTCAAAGCCAGAGGTTAGAAGCAGTTCTCAGTTACTTGTTAAATAAGACATTTCAACAGTTTCATTGCTGTGTTTCCTCTTCACGGTTGTGGTCTGCACAGGATGTGTGTATCTATGTATTATGTATGTCTCACTGCATTTATTTTTTGCCTTGAGTAGAGGTGGCGCCAGACACATTGTCTCTGGTGGTGAGAATCTCAGCACAGGAGACAGCTCTACAGGAGGGGCAGGAGCTGTCGCTATCCTGCAGTGTAGACACACAGAATCTGGAGGAAAGGTTCTTCTCTGTAGCCTGGCTCCGGGGGAATGTTGAGCTGGCTCGCATCGGCCCTACAGGGATTCTGTCTGTGGGGCCCCAGTACAGTGTCCGAGAGAAGGAAGGAGAGCTCAGGGCTGCCCGGGTGGGGAACAGAGATTACCGTCTCATTTTGCAGCCTGTTAGAACTGAGGACCAGGGGGAGTACCTCTGTAGGGCATGGCCTCAGGACAGAGACCAGAATGGTGCCTTTACCCAGGGAGCAGCCCAGGACTCCAGCTCCCAGCTGATCAGCATCTCAGCCACAGGTGAGTCAGCACATGAGCCCATGCTGACTGACCATACACAGGCCTTTCAGGGTTTCATTTCCTTGTCTCCATGATTTACCCTGGATTTTAAGTTTTTAATTTTGTTCTTTAATGAAAACTTGTAAATACTGATTATAAAAAGTTTAAGGTTAGTCATATTAATAAAAACATTTTCTATTATTATCTTATCAAACATGACTTGTTACCTTGTCTCATCACAGAAAGTGGGCTTACAATTGAAATGCAAGACACCGTGAGTGTTAACGAAGGTGACAGGCTGAACCTCATATGTAAAGTGGATGGGGTTAAAGGTCAGCTCTCTGTCACCTGGCAGCGCAAATCAGAATCCACAGCCCAGTTTGCCAGTGTCAGCCTGAGTCAAGATGGCGTTATGGAGAAAGAGGGAGACTTTGTGAATCGCAAAGTAAGAGCAATGCGTCCAGCAGCTGACAGCTTCACCCTGGAGCTTGATGAAGTCACACCCCTTGACTCAGGTGAATACGAGTGTGCTGTGTCGGAATGGAAAAGCAACAGCAAGACCAACAGCAAATCACAAACTGCCACTGTGACGGTGGTTCCAGCAGGTAAGATGTTGTATGTCTGCATCTGTCTGCAGCTAAAATGATTCAAGAAGAGTGATGAAACCTAAACACTGACACCACAGGTTTGGCTTATCAGGCACTTTGTTCTTTTAAAAAAACCTTGTTGCCACAAAATCTGAAACTTCTATGGGAACATTAGTCAAATTTTGCTGAACATACAACAGTTTAGTCAGTAGTAAGATACCTTGAGAATAGGTGCCCACATTGCAATGGAATATAAGATGGATGTTCATAAGATTGTACCTTATGTATTTCCAACCCCTCTGACCACCATCAGGTCAAACTTTCCATTTGGATTTGAGACAGATGAAGATGTGCTTTCAAAACTTTTGGTGCAGACAGACTTTAACACAAAACTCAGTGGAGAAATCTGAGAGCACAGACTCAGAAACGAGCGCACACATGGCCGGGATTGTACTCTCAAGTCCGATTTTGTGCTGGTAGATCAGTGCCTGTGTATTCTCAAATGCTGACGTGCAAACTGAATAGTGCTTGAAATGTGGGTTGCGCGGCTTCAGAAGTTTTGGCGGGGTTTTTATTTCCATTCCCCTCTTGTTTGTGCACACAAAAAAGTGAAAACCCAGCAGGCAGATTGCCATGACATTTGCACAATCTGCTTCAAACAGGAAAGTTGTTTTTGATTTTAATCCTCACAAACCTTAAACTTTTAGCCTGACTACAAGTAAAGCTCTAAGACAAAAACTAAATTCTTAAGATGTTTTTGTTCTGTCCAGTATTCTACATATATGTCACAGGGTGTAATGAATAGAGCTGGGTTCACCTCCAGGGCTTTAGACTTGAGGTTTTGTTAACATGATTGTTGAAATGACAAGACTAGAGTTTGGAGTGCCTCACTGCATACATTTGCAAATAATGAAGAAAAACAGATTTTCTCTAAAGTAACTTAAAGCTTAATGCTGTACATTTCATGTGAAGACAAATATGGTGACACTTGATATTGATTGAGTGAAATGTTTTAAATTTATCTTGATTGTTGACGACATGCTTGCCTTTTCTTGTTTTATAGAAAACTATATACAATACAATAAATGTCAGCATAACTCAGAGAAGAATTCAGAAATGTCATTTACTTACATCTTTTATTTACATGAATACTCATGATTGCATGATGATTTGTGCCACAGAGTCATTGGTGAAATTGTCTCTGATAAGTCGCAACAACAATGTAACTGTTGGAGATAATGTGGAGTTGATGTGCCGGGTCAGAGGGCCACGCATGCCAATCACGCTGACTTGGAGTAGGCAGCGTGATCAGCCAACGCTAGATAACATCCTGACGCTGTACTCTGATGGTGCCATCAGCTGGTCTGGAGACCAGCACCGCTACCAGTTGAAAGTACAGAACAAAGTGAATGAAGTCATTCACTCCCTGCTTATCAACGGTGCGAGCCACAGGGAGGCGGGACGTTACCAGTGTAGGGTGTCGGTCTTCCTGCAGAATGTAAACAAAAAGGTCCCTCCATCTCACCCCCTGGCTGTGATGGTGCATAATCGAGGTACTGCTGAGATATGTATGGCTATGTGCCATCTTTAGAGCAATTTTAGAAAGCTACATTGTGAATTCTCTCTTGTTTCTCAACTCATGTGACTTAACTTTGTCTTCCTTTTCTAGTGAGCAAGCTCGCTCTGACCTCTCCCAAAACCTTGACAGCAGATATCAACACTGACATTGAAATAAAATGCTCAGTTACCTCAGAACGCTCTGTGTCCTCCCGCTATGCTGTCACCTGGCTCTTCCAGCAGCAGGCAGAAGAAAAGGTCATTGTAAGCTCGGACCGGGATGCCCTAATAACATTTGGGCCCTGGATGGAGCAGCAGCACAGACAGCGAATAAGCCTGAGGCGCACTAAGGGACCTAGATTTGAGCTGACGATTCAGCAGACCCAAATCTCAGATAAAGGCTCATACATATGTAAGGTGGTGGAGTGGCTGCCTGATCCTCATGGTGACTGGTATCAGCTCTCACCAGTGGCCAGAACTACACTGCTAACAGTCACTGAGCCTGGTGAGTTTGCTTATCTTTAATTAATTCACTGCATATTTTAGCAAATTTCATTAGCTAAATATTAGGTTCTTGATTTCTCCTCTTGTCTCATTCTCTAGCCAATGACCTACGTTTAGATGCGAAAGAGCAGCAGCAGTTGGTTGCCAGGGAAGGAGACAAAGTAGAGCTCAAGTGTAACATCATCTCTGGGGCATCAAACCCTTCTTTTTTCTACAAAGTCTCTTGGCTTTACACTGGACAGTCATCTTTGGTCAACATCACTCTACTGGAGCTTGATCACACAGGTCAACGTCACTCTACTGGAGCTTGATCACACAGGCCTGTTGAGGTACCCAGATAACCAGGCACTTAGAGACCTGCAGGGGCGGCTTCACCTCACCAGACCCAGTCAGAGCAGCTTCCTCCTAGGTATTCAGAGGGCTCATGAGAGTGATAGCGGGACCTACCAGTGCCTGGTGGATCAATATCAGCTGGATCGTGAAGGTCACTGGCAGCAAAAGCTCTCAGACAGCGCTGGTCCAATCATGCTCACTGTAAATGTTGCAGGTATGATCACAGGTTTTAGAGTCCTCTCTATGCATCTTAATAAATGTGCCTGTGTGTTTCAAGGAATAGCTTGACATTTTGAGACATACTCTTATTTGCTTTCTTACCGAGGCTTAGATAAGAAGACCGGTAACACTCTTAAACCAGTAATAATCTCACTGTAGCTTCACATTAACTGCACAACCATGAGTGTTTCCCAATATTACCTATAACATAAAATGGTGTATTTGTATTTCTTATGAATTTTTGCCAGCTTTTGCTGCACACCAATTATTGTAATGGTGCTGGCATTATGTTTAGTCCTAGTTGTGTTGCTGATGGCCTTATGCCTTATACTGGCTCTACTTTGTCATGTACATCTGTCCTACCTGTTCTTCTTTACTGCCTCTTCCAGTATTACAGATATACAGTGTTTTGTTGTAGTGTTTTCTTTTTCTGCCATTTCCACAACGTATCCATCTCCCATTTTTAAAGTTGTTAGACATTGTCTTTATGGGTCACTGGTTTGCAGATAAAGTTGTTAGACATTGTTTGTCTTTATGGGTCACTGGTTTGCAGAGAGGCACAGAGGAAACAGGGGAGGCAGAGATAGAGGGGTGAGATCTGTGACAAATGTGAGACTATGTATATGCATATGTAGGTGGTGAGCCACCGAAACCACTTGGCTGTTGGGCCACTGAAACCACTTGACTGTTGGGCAACCCCTTTATCTCTCTTTTGCCTCCTTTCCCCAACTTCTTTCTTGTCTGTCTGTGTACCTAGAAATTTAATTTAAGGGCCTTATTGTTTGATTTTTCTTGATAAACTTTTTTTTTTTTTTTACCTGTGTGCTTTTTTCACAGAAAAAAACCTGTCTGTTGTAAGGAACGAGCAGGAGTGGAATGTGAGCAGAGCTTTCACTATCCCTTGTCAAATCACCAAACAATCAAGCAGTGAATCTGAGTTCCAGGTGACGTGGTTTTGGAAGAAAGACAGCGAAGCTGAACAACAGCCCATATTCACAGCTTACCGAAACTCTACCCTGCAAGACAGGTTTGTGATGGGTGATCAGCTAAAATTTGACCACCCTCTACCCACCCATTTCAACCTCACATTGTTGAAGCCGAGACCAGAAAACAGTGGCCTCTATTTCTGTGAGGTAGAAGAGTGGCTCCCATCTCTGTCTCATGGGTGGAGGAAGGTTGCAGTGGAAAAGTCCGGATATTCAACTGTTAATGTGTATGGTAAGCACTACTTAATGGAATTAGTACATTTCTCTCAGCAAATATCACATGTTGAAAATTACGACAACTTATGCTTGCATGTGGACTTACTTACTTATTTATCCTTTGCAGAAGAAGCCTTCTTTGAACGACAACACCAGACAATTACCTGGATTTTCGTAGCGCTGCTCATCTGTTCACTGGTGGTCATTTCTGTATTGGTGCTGATAATATGCCGAAACAAGGCCTCAGGAGGGAAGAAGTCAGACCAGACTTTATGGATAGAGCAACACCCTCTGAATGCCAAACCTAATGCAGAGGAGTGAACCTCACAGAGTAACAGTGGAGAGAAGCAAAAAAATGCACTCATGTTTTCTTATGTGCTGTATTATATTTTATAGTTTAAAAGGTTGCACTGTATGTATTTTATTCATTTTTTTTTATTAAAGCTTCAATAATTCCTGTTTAAACAAATCTGTTGAAAATGTTCCATAAAAATTAGTTGGAAATGTTTTACTCTCTGTGCAGCTGGGACTTTGCAGCTGGGATATTTCCTTTATGAATGAATGAATTTCACTAAACCATTCAAATTAAACAGGTGCTTTTTATTTTACAGCTAAAATATATTTACATAATCGCCGGCTTCTTACGTCTTACTTGCACTGGACAGTTGAGCCAGGCGGCAGCTCAGCTTTGTGGCACTTTACACCTACAGAAACACTTTCTCTGTCTGACAGATTCCTCTTAATGTAGCAACATGTCAGGTGGTTTGGTACTGTTCTGTTTCTTTGATAGGAAACAGTCAGAGCTCAGTATGTCAGAGGAAGCAGCTAAGCATGAAACATGGCAAGATTTGAAACTTTTCTCAGTAAGCAAGACAGTGAATCAACAGGGAAGTGGTCTGTGGTTCTGCAAGTGCACAGGATGATTATGTGGTCTAGACTTTTTTAGTGTGACCAGTATTTGTGCAGACAGTATCACATTATTACACAAACATTTTTTTCTGTCATTACATGCTTATCTTATTGAAGGTTGCACAATGCTTTTGATCATGAGCACATTAAATGTACATGTGATCCTGGACCCACGGTTTCACAAGTTGTGACACGAAGGTTTAGTCTGTATTAGTGTGCTTCACTGATTGTGTGCTTGTACAGACCACGTATACAGTTTTCAGCTCTGTGCTAGTACAGCGGATTTGAAATAAAACAATAGCAGATTAAAAATCTAATTTCAGCTACAGTAAAGGCTGAACATGTAGGGTTCAGACCCTTGTAGTCCCTCTGCTGTAGGACACTACATCTGGTCAGTGGGTCTAAATACACATGAAAGCATTTAGGGCCACAGGAATGTTCTTGATGCACCTAGTCAACAACCTCAGTCCAGCCGGGCATGTGCCTCTCTTCTTGAAGGCCAGACTGAATGTCAGATCTACCTAGAAACAACCAAATGTTGAAATGCCTGTAGATATCAAATGTCTGCTAATTTCCATCATTTGTCTAAATTTCACTGCGTCACAAGAAGAAAGTTGTGTCTCTTTCTGTTACTCCCCAGTCTCTCCACTTCTCCCTGTATCATCCCTATCAATGTTTAACACCCCATCTGTGTAAGAGGCAGGAATAGAATCAATTTCTTGCTCTCACTTTTGAGAAAACAGGCCTAGACACCAGACTGCTCCTGTACAAAGTAAGGCCCTTGTCTGATGAGTGTATACCAGTTATGTACAACTTAATGTAAAACCAATAGTGCTTTCTTGAAAGCTATGAGAGACTAAAAGCACACTGAGGAACTTTAATGCATGCTGCAGTTCTCTTGGCCCCAGAGGGATGATATGGTGTCTTTGGTCTTGAATTATGCAAGCCCTTCACAGTCTGGTGGACTAGCTTCATCTTACTGCCTCACTCTAAACTTTTGTGTAATTCCACTGTTGTGTTTCCATGGCAATGCCTGTCAGAGTAAACAAAGAAAGTGAATTTAGGAGGCAAATCGATGCTTGTGTCTATACAGTGAAGACTAGACATAGAGGGGACAAACTAGCATGTAGAGCAGCAACAATGCCAGAATTTCCTTGTCATGCTGTTTGCTTTCACCAAGTCTAACATAAACAGTTTTTGTTTTGACAGGGATGCTGCTGCACGCAGTACACATTGAGATTTACAAGACGACATTTATAATCCCTCTCTTTCTAAAACTCACGCAGTACATGTTGATGAAACACATTTCGGTTCCCAGTTTGTAGCTGGATGCTTATCTCTAATGCTGTGATCTCATTCCAGATCTGTTTGGTATCAGCTTAATGCTCTGCCATTCATGTGCCATGAATGGAATAGATTTATGAAAACTTTCAAACCACTGTTCTCTAACTTGTTAAACTAGAGCACATGAGTACTGTAGTAAGTGCACACACACATAGGTCGCTTTAATGTTATGCTACACTGTTTTTCAGTTATTAATATCATAGCAGTATCTGTGGCAAAATTAACAGTTGTTTATGGAAAATGAAAGTAAAAGAAGGGTTACATGTTTGAAAGCAAAAGCAACTTCCATTTGTTTAGCTGCATATCTGTCAGTCAGTCAGGTCAGTAATGCAATTATTACATCTAGGTGTCCGTGCCAGGACTCTGGGATTATACAAGCTGTCTGTCAGGTTTACTGACACACCTAAAAGGCATTGTGTATAACAGCATTTTCACTTGAGCCTTAGTGATCCTCTGATTTTCATCTAGCGCCTCTGACTGGTCAGCATTTATCACTCACTGACTGAAGTATCTCAACATGTACTTGATGGGTTGACACGTTATGGGCAGACAAGTGTTGTGCAGGAGGTGGGTCCACCAAAATTTGTGCTTCCCTGACTGTTTCTCCAGTGCCACATTGAGGCTGACCACTGTGGTACTAAGTAAAATGTTTACCATGAAATTTGGTACAGACATTCACTGCTCCCCTCGGCTTTATCTTTAACGCCATCATGTGGTCAAAATTTAAACTTGTCCGGCTTGTTGGTTCATAACCATACACCTGCAAGAAAAGTGCTATCAGTGCTGAATAGCATGTTAGCATGCTAAAACATTAACTAAGATGGTGAAGGCATATTTGCTATAACAACAGCATTGCCATTGTAAGCATGTTAGCAACTGACCTTACAGTATTTCTGTTACGAGAAACTAAAATGCTTTCTGCAAGAAATGTCAATCGTGGTCTACTATGTGCAATGCCCCACACAAAACACACACACAAGTGACTATAGAGGATGAAAAATGAATTATTAGCAATAAATAAATGACAATTAATGCGTAAATAAATACAGACATAAATAAGTAAAGGAATAAATAATTAAATACATGTATAATTAAAAGAATAAATAAATAATTATATGATGAAATAAGTACATTTATTGCTCCCCTTGGTTTTATATTTATATTTATATACATATATAATGTATATAAATATATTTATACAATACAATTAAATGCATAATAAAAATCTGACATACATTTAAGAGCACTGTCAAGAAAACATGATATTTGTACATGATTTTGAGATAAAACTATTGAAATGAAAAACAGTGTTGTTTGCTATTAAATTATACAAACTATTAAAATGATAAAAGTATTAAAGAAACTGAGGGGGTAATTTGATTTGTCTTGTTCTGTAATTGCAGCAGAACTTCAGGTCAAACATGTTTGCATCCATAATTCATTATTATTTTATTTTATAGAATACAGATATAGAGTACCTAGAATTACAGTATGCAATTTTCATTTAAACTATAATATAGTATCTTTACCTTTTTTTTAAACTTGTGTAGCCTGAAATTCTGTCTGTACAGCCGTTGTAGTGTGCCACACCACTAAATGTTTTTTTGGAGGCACCACTGACTATGCATCTTTCCTATTCACTCTTACACAGTAAAACACAATATACAACACAAGCGATAAATGTTTTCCTTAAAACACCTCCTGAGCAAAGTGTCCTGGCAAAGATAGGGATGGCTATAGGGTAGATAGACGCTCAAACCGACCATCTGTATTAATTACGTAACACCTCTCCTGAAATATTAAAGTCTTCTCTAAAGCACTTTTTTGCTTCCTCTCACCTCAGCTCAGCAAATCTCTGGTTATACCCCCAACTCCTCGCTAGTCCCTCGTGGCCCAGACTTGCCTTTGATATTCCCCTTTCTCACAAGGAAAGGACACACGCTTGACAGAAATGCCTTGTGTTCCTCGCCCAATCCAAAAGCTACATGGTTTTCCTCTCTTGCTCTCCCTCTCTCCCTCGCTTCAGTCTTATCATCTGTCAGCACTAGAGAGAGCTAGTTACTCAGAAGGACAGAGACATACAACAGTCAACAGGTTAATGCACAGAAGGGTGAGTCATTGTGTTTCAGAGCCTGTCACTGCAGCACCAAATCTGAGAATCTAAGACTTTGAAGCTATGGATTTCTTTCTCTGCCTTCACATGTTGGAATTAGGTCTCTTGGTCCTCAGAGCTTGGTGAGCAAGTGTTTGTCTGTAAGTGAGAGGGAATAGAGGAAGAAATGCATACAAATTCAGGGATAGACTTATGGTTGAAGAGGCAGGAAGTCATCCTGAGGTCTCATAGGATGTGAGGGCGTGATGGTGACATCTCAGACTGCACATTGTCACCTGGAATAGCAGCCTTTGAGAAACGTTGAAGCAAACTGTGTGTGAGTGACAGCCATAGTCTCTTCACGCAAACACAGCGAGAGAATTACCTCATTTATCCCACCCCAACACACAAATATATAGACACACAGCTCTCTAAACTGTTAGGAGCTGTCTGCCTTTTCTTGTTGAGGCCTGATTGTTATCCCCAGAGATGGCCCTGCCTGGTAGAAGGAGCTGGAGTCCTAAATAAAAACAGCTTAAATGGTGCAATATGAAGTAATAGCCTGTTCTGCTCACTGTCAAGGGAGCTCTCAACTAACTCAGAGCTTCTTCTTTTTTTTTTACAGCTCTATGGGAATGAACAAAGCTGCTTTATCTGTGCTCCTCCTGTTATGATAATGTAACCATGCATACATGTGTCTTCCATGCTTGTGTGCCTGTTGGCTTACATGTGTACGAGCATGTGCAGTGTCTCTCCTGTCAGATAACAGACAAACAAATAAAAACAGAGAGGATGAACACAAGCCCAGATTTCATTATAAAAGCACCATGGAGGATGTGTTGATTCATGTGTCAAAATGAATGCAACCCAGATTTTTAACATTTTTTTATTGTATAGAGCTGGTGGGCACATGAATAAAACAATGAATCATAAGGGACTCTTGATTGAACATTTCTTCTTAGTCACTGCTTCTCTCTTATTCTCCACAGACTACTCAGTTTAACAAGAGAG